CCATCAGCAAAGCGTTAATGGGATATCGTTGTGACTAGCTTCTACGTATTTACAGTTGTACCAAATATTCTCTACACTAAGACTTAAATTCTCAAATTACAACACTCCTATTTTTGCCCTACTTTTTTTCCGAATATGAATGTAGTTAAAAGTCATGAAAGTTCATCAGTGACGTCAGCTGGGCATAACCTCCTTGATCATGGGTTCCTTCATTCGCGCGTAATTCTGTAAGCATAATTCGCCACGCTCCTCCAGACAGAGGAAACGTGAGTTCGCACTGCACGTCTAGGCAAACCGCATCTGGCTGTTTATGTCAGCGCAGTTCTACTTTTCCTGAACGATTACGGAACACTGCATCGAAGGCAGCACTAGGGTGAACTAATTCATCATCCGGAGGAGAATACCTAAAGGTCTCAAAAATATCGAATGATGACCCATACCCTGAATGTGGGGTGCCAGGACATACACACACGTGGTCGAAAAGTCCAAGGTATTTAGCCGTATGCGTATGCGAATCTTATCCTGTCATTCGTGGAGACAGTGAAAAACTTCAAATGGAAAACTGTCAAGAATGAAAGGTGAACAAAATAAAAGTGGGAAAAGAGATTTTTTTTTGTTTCTTTCATTCTGTGTAGTATTGTCCACTTTAAGGACTAGTCTGACCACATGATTTGTTCTTCATAATTCGAACTGTCCACATATTTTCATTTTACAGGTCATACATCCCGCTTATCATATTGCGAATCACAATAAATAGTATGGAAATCTCATCTAAAGTTAAGACACATGCTTGCAAATGGTTTGGAACTTGTTAACAAATTATTACTTCCTGTAACNCCATCTTCAGGGTAGATGAAAAAATGAGGAAATCTGCAAGCGAAGAGATCCTCCGAAACGTCGGTTAACACCACATCTACACGGTGCCACATCCCAGAAGACTGCTTTCTTAATAGTCACCGCCGTGAAACCCTCAAATCTTACATGTTAAAAATTTACTTATATGAAATTTAGAAATGCGTAGCATAACTTCGCCCCATATTTCATTGGTAGGGCAATTGCACTGAACCGCTCCCGGTCTTCTGGTGCGTAACTATACATTCGACGTTCGAAGGAACTCTGAACATACTGGTACTGCTGCAACGACAAACGATTTTACGGACCCGTTTTTCTAACCGGTTTTTAAGTTCAATGATATAAGGTTCGCCAAATAACAAACAAATAAGTGTGTAATCCAAAAAGAAGATAATCAAATTCAAGTCAGTCATGGTGGAAGGAACATAAAACCAAACACTGCTTTCATAAAAAGGATATATGCCCCACAATTATTAATTACATACAATACCGAAAACTGTATTAACTTTAGGCTTAAAAACACTACACTATTACAGCTGCCACGCTGAGGGCCAAAAAGCGAATAATAAGTTTAATTATTAGCTAGAGACAGGACCGAGTATATTGCACTGAGTGTTTATATTCAGAAACAAAAAACAAATGAAGTCCTCTGCGGAATGTTGGAGGGAGGGGGGGAGGTCCTTGACTCCACAGCAATCTGCCACAGTAAACAATGATTTTTAGCCTACTTTTCTTCAAGGAAATAAAGTTCCTTTGCGACTTCACCATGCTCCGTGTTCGTGTTGGTGTCTCCTCATTCAACGTCTGAACAAGTAGACCGATTTTCATGAAATGTCGTATGAATGTTGTGCCATGGAAACCACACAAATATCCCACTTCTTAATTTTCTACAGTCAATAATGACGCGAAGGCGGACGCGTGAAATAGTGAGGTGGGAGCAACACTAAACTCAATTAACTCAGGATCCTTAAATTATGTACGGTAATATAAACTCCGTGGCCTGTAGTCCGCAAGCGAACTATACCGACCGAGCGACCGCCGCTTGTCTGCGAAGTTAGTGCCAACTTTAGCGGATGGAGGACGTCGCGTGATATATAACGTTCTGGGATATAACGCCGCTTAGTCCGTTCAAAGTCAACCGACGTTTCGGAAGAACAGACTGCCTCCATCTTCAGGATTTTAGAACAGGCCGCTGTTTGCCATTTGCTTTCTGGCTGTTATCTTTTACCGCTTATTCTTCTTCCCTGAAGATGGAGGCTATGTTTCTCCGAAACGGAGGTTGACTTTCAACGGACTACATGGCGTTATATCCCAGAAGATAGCACTGTAACGTGTAGTACCGTTGCTATGCACCGATCGCGAGAAGGAACATGCGTCGCTTGGTAACGGCTCGGTAAATTTGTTCCCGCAAAATCGAGACGCACACAGTAATACTTACAACGGTTACTGGGACGTTCTGTTGGATCTACCCCTAGGCTATATAGCGCGGACCCTAGGACGGCTGAGTGCGGTTCAGTTGAGTGAAGTGAAGTAGTTGGTTGGTGAGAGCAGGGACACCTGTGACAAGAGGAACTTAGCACGGGAAGCTGAAGAATCTCCAATGTTAGAAGCCGTTGCTAGGGAAGGTTGTTGAAAAGACAGAAGGCTGGAAAAGGCTTAGTAGATGCTGGGATGATTTGTAAAGTGTGGGAATTAGCGACAGCGCTGTAATTACTTCTAGTTCCGAATGGTGTACATAAACGATCAATGAATCCAGTCACCAATTCATATGCCGTCTATAGTCACCCCTAAATACATGACATTACTGTTCATAACCACCGCTGTGAGGACCTCAAATCCTACAACATAAACACACAAATAAATTTCTTACAAAAATAACAATAACAATAGTAAGAGGTCTGTAGAGGCCGCGCCATAGCTCAAGAGGTTATTCGCTGGCTTCCCACCGCGGCAGCCTGGACAAAGTGGCGCTGGGGCAGGTTTTCTCCGAGTACTTCGGTTTCCCATGCCAATCTTCATTCCACCAATTGCTCCACAATCACCCTCACCTATCATCTAGGGCTGGTACAATAGGCCAGAAGTGGCCGCAATAGAGGTCTGCAGGGCTAAAAAGCCATATGAAAGGAAATTACGACTTGATGAGTTCCATTTTCATATATTTATAAACGTCTTGGTGATTATGATATACAAAGACAGAAACAGAAGAATTTATGTTAACATGCAACTTCAGTGCAACTCAGACATTCTCCTGTCCCATCTTGCCGAAGTACCGCCAATGTAGAACACGCAATATTTGCACAAATTTAACAATTATATATATCCAGACATAGTGCACAAGTACCAATTAGGAAGAACTTTGTTTTATTATAATCTAATTCTTGGTACGGAAAGTCGGTAGTCCAGGGTAACACATGTACCCAAGCAAAGAAAATCAAACCAACTCATGAAATGCACTAAGCTCCTTACAGCAGGACTGGCTGAATTTGTCCAAATGTTTTAAAAACACCATCTATAATCATCATCTATGTATTCTCCGCAAAAGAACATACATCCGTTTCGGGTTAAAACTATTCCCTTTAGTTGAAATAATATAACATCATTGAGTGTCCAGAAAAAAAAAAGAAAGTGACTCGTGTTAACAAGTTTGGGAAGAGAAAGAGATAACTACATGTATTACTCATATGGTGACACCTTGGGGGAGGAATGTCCACTCTGTCTGGCCCCAATCTTTCAAAAACCTTGCTGTTGGATGGAACAAAGCAATACCACCAACAGAGCTAACTGTATGAAATTCACGAATAAGAAATTTACCGCGACAGGGGCCTCGATACTTGTGTATGTATGATAAAACTGGAAAAGCTAATGCGAAACACTACAAAGAAAATTCAACTGTAAGGAACGCATGCCTCATACTGTAGGTTCCCTTGCCAAAACAATACCACTCCTGTACGAAAGTGTGTAGCGCCGTTGAAATCATTGGGAGTCCCCAATTTTTGGGCATTCTTCACATACTTGTTTCGTTACACACACGTGACTTCAAGCAAGTGGGTGACTTCTGTCATGAGATCCACACTAAAATATTGGAAAAATTCGTTCTTGTTATAAGCCTATTACCATAAACACCTAAGTTACAAAACCACAAATATGAAATCTACTTGTAAGATTTTAGGCTTTCACGGCGGTGACTATGAAGAAAGCAGTCTTCTNCTACTTGTATTTCGACAACATTACAGGTAAAATACACAAGTGGAAAGGTGTAAACCAAACTGGAAAACACGTATTTTTCAAGCGTGTTTTTTTATATCTTTTACACCAGACCAGCCATGACAGTCATTACTTGCTGGTATTTTGTCACTGGAAAAACAAATCTATTTTCCCAACCGCATGCCAATTCTGGAAAGTCAGCTGGTGGCGAATAATACACTTGCAGCCTTGAACGACCAAACATAATTCATATTGGAATTCAATTCTGACTTTGTGTGTCATAGGCACAGATTATCTGCTGTTACATTGTTATTCGCATTAGAAGCATTATGATATAGTTCTGCTGTCACCATGATACACATGTGTAATCTCTTGCGACACAGCTATTTACACTTCAAACATTCAGGTATTATTCTGCACTTGCATTAAAAAAATGATAAGAGAACGGGAGCTCAATGTTCGAGGGCCCCTCCTCTACACTAATTACTCGAAAGATGTAAAACTATCGTAAATAAAACTACAAACACTTAGGAATCACATACGAGTATAAGAGGAAGTCGGAATTTCACAGAAGACTAAACGTCACCGAGAATTACTTGAATGAATACCTATACTGCTGACATGTGCCGATTAATCGGGGCTGCAAAATCCAGGGGACCGCACCTGGACTTTCGTGTGTACTCCGAAGAGGAGAACAGATTTACTCTAAACTGGTGAGAGAATTTATATTCATTTTCTAAATGACCTAATTGGATGCTTACAAGATATCAATATGTAAGTCTACACAGTTTCACCCATTTACCTTATTCCATTATTATCTTCATGATTCATGCATGGTGATTCAAATATCTGTTAAGACAGCAGAAAGGCCACATCAACATCAAGCCAAAACTTACGCCAAAGCACTCGGCCACGCAGGACAAGTGAAGGTAATTTGTACTCACATGCAGGTCTCGTCCTGTTGGGTCGCGTGAGTGGGATCCATGGTCGCCGCGGGGGATTAGATGCTGTCACTGTAAAAAGAAAAGCACACTGTTAAATATTTTCAGCGCACAGAAGATAGTACAAGATAGTACCGCACATAGAGCTAAACGCGCAAAGCGATATCTCTACATTTTCCTCGTCGTGTCGCGTCAAGTTATGAAGGCATGAAGCGCCAGCACAGTAGGACCACTGTCAGAACGAACTCCTACTTATTTCAGTTAGGGTCTATATTTTTTCTGACCACCCTGTATAATAGTAAGGGCTTTTTCTACAAGTGAAGAGATTTCGATCGATCACGGCGCCGTCAATACTTTTTGAACTACTGCAGTGAAAGTACAACTAAAACTTAATCTCATTCGAATAACCGGCCATGACACACCCTTTCACGAAGATCAATCTGAAACAGTTCCATTCCTATAGTTGAAAGGTAAACTCTGGTATTTCCAGACAGGTCAATGTAATTGCTATGAGCATTCGGGCTACGCACATAATGTAACATTGTAGGTAAACTTCAAGTGCAGGTGTTCAGAATTCTTCTTAGAAGATAAGTATCTGTACTTGCCTGAAATCAAACCGACTTTAAGCGCTGCCTCAGGGTCTCATTTCAAGAAATGACATGAATTAGAAAAAGCACTAAACGAATTTATTGCCTAAACACCGATTTTCCGACGCTTCAATATATTATTTCACGCAAAATTAATGTCTGGAAACCGCGAAACTTATTATTTTTTGAAAACCATTTCGAACAGGAAAGATGCAAACACATGAGCACAAACTCTGTGATGCCCTTCGAAACTGTGCATAATTTTATTAAGACTTATAGTGGTGTTTGAGAAAGAAAGTGTCCTTTGTTCCAAAACAAAATTTTCAGATACGACATGTTCAGTTTCTAATTCGCCTAACATGTACATACATAAAACATAAACCTTATATTCATATAGTTAATGCATAATTACAGACGACCTCACGAAAATATTTTCTTCCAGTTTATGGGGTTTACAAAATCAGTTTTCAATAGAGATATTGCTATGATGAAAATTACCGCATATTTTCTGTTATTTCGTGTGTGATGAAGTAATATCACTATCAGCGTTAAGTAGCCACCCATATGTACCTACCTGTATGAGACAGCTTACCATTCCAGACAAGGAAGTTTAGTCGAAGACGATAAACAGGCCTATATACGGATGAAAATCTAGTCCTACGTCCTTTGTTTTTATTACATCATCCTGTAGGAGAATCAGGAAACAAAGGCTGACACAGTTCATGGAAGTCTAGAGATCAACGGTACCATTTGTGAGATACGTGCACGCATTCTGGTTGCAGATAACAGCAAATAACCAACCGCACACAATCTATCAATATTGCTTCAATGATCAAACAGAGACTGGTTTTACACTACGATATCTGATTGGTTTATTCATTTACCCTGACTGCAGTAAAGACTAAGTAATATATTATGAGCAACAATTCATGCATCACCGTCTACTACCAACAACGAGGATAACAATTATGAAACGTGGGCCCCGTGCGGCCCGTTAAAAAATTTCCTTCGGCCTGCAACAGTACCAGCAGTGACAAACTTGTCACCGTTTCCAGCAGTATCGTATTCTTAGCAAATGAGCGCATTCGGAACACACGTACCCTGTCTACTTAAAAGTTTACTCACCTCGATCTTAAGATGACGAACCCGAAAGCAAAATATGCCGAAAACCTTGAGTCGAGGGGTGACACTACTGAGTACACACAACTGGAAAGAACAGAGGTCTGAGAGACCGGTGAGGGGGGGGAGGCCTAATGAAACCTTGAACTGAACTCTGGTAAAGCCCTGTTCGTGTTATAAAACAAAAAAATAGTATTAAGTTATTCTGGACAGGCATTAAACAAAATTAATAACTTTAATAACTGTTAAGTGACTGCTTGCAAATAAAAATACAATGGGATATATTTAAAGAATGATTGATATTTAACACAACTAATTTAGTAAATTGTATCCGGCCTGCATTGCTTTCGCAGTTGCACTTCATTCGGGGGAAGCTGGCACAGGATACACCATCGGCCAGAAAGTTGCCTGACGGGTACTCAGTTCGAGCTTCGCCCGGGACACCTTCTATTCTGAGACTGCGGTATTCGTCAGTCCCTCCGGGTGAATGCCTGAATAATGCTTCGAAACGTCCCATGGCCATTCCCTCTCAGATCCTCTCTAATTCATTACTCCACCTCATTCGATGTTATATAGTATGAGCTATTGACAGCAATGTATAGATAAATAACACACATTACAAATGGCTGTAAGAGACCGCGGTTTACAACAATATGAAAGGGTGCGATTTAAAATTGGATAACGGTATTGTTCAGAATCGTCATTTATATTTTAGGAAGGTCGAAGAGTGGTTGTAGTAACAAATCGCAGACTGAAATAGACACCAACCGCATACAACGGTTGCCCGACTCCTTCTAGATGTGTCCACTTCGGTAACGGAAGCAGTTTCAGTCATTAGACAGCACTTACTTACTTATGGAGCTCAGCACTTCTTGAGGAGAAGCCAAATCTGCAGCTACTCAAGAATTTCCCAGCATTTTATGAAACCCAAAGGTTCATTACCGTGTTCACAAGAGCCCTCCACTGGCCCCTATCCTGAGCCAGATTTATCCAATCCATACCATCCCATCCTATCCCTCTAAGATCAATTTTAATATTGTCCACCTACCTACGTCTTGGTCTTCCCAGTGGTCTCTTTCCTTCTGGCTTTCCCACCAATATCCTATATGCATTCCTCTTCTCCCCCATTCGTGCTACATGTCACTGCCCACCTCATTCTCCTTGACTTGATCATTCTAATTATACTGGAGAAGAGTACAAGTTATGAAGCTCCTCATTATGCAGTTTTCCCCAACCAACCTGTCACCTCATCCCTCTTCGGTGCAAATCTTGTAAAATTTTCACGCTGAAGAGTAAATTCAATTCATATGCAGTACGTAAACGTGCAGTATGCTTCGAGGTCTTACATGAACACGCCTGAGTCATCAGAAGGAGGATAACAAAAACAGTATGAAAAGCTCTCACAGTAAACAGCAGTATACGTGTTGCAAATTTAAGGTCTGCAAATAAGCATGCTACTCATTAGAGCAGAACTCGGTAATCAATATCTCCATTTCTTTTACACAGTATGTGACACACGTTGATAAGCAAAAACAGTCATGCTCATTTCGTTCACTGACGTTCTGCATCCCTAAATCAAGGTTTACAGTTTTCCAAAGGGACTCAATGTCGAATATGTACATGTAGCAACACAATTACACCGTTAATGCTCATACCTGTAACACTTAACAGGGGTGGTATGGACGTAACGCTTTAGACTGCATTCGGGAGCTGTTCTGTTCCAATTTCGGCCGACTATCTTTTGCGGGTTTCCTCAGTACCTCCAGGCAAACGTCTGCATAGTATATATGAGACAAACACCGTCTTAAGTGCAACAATTTAATTGTAGTTCTTTCTTCTTTCCCTCCTCCACACTACATGTTTCGGCCTTAAATGGCCATCATCAGGTGTGTATTCTTACGTAGCTGCTACACTGCCCGTAATTTAAAATTTAAAATCACCAGTCTTTCTAATTGTATGTATAAAAGCTTTGTTAACCTACACGCGTTAATTTGATTTCTAAAATTGGCACTTTTTTAAAACTTTAATTCAAGTTAAAATGTCTATAAAATTTGTTCTTTTTCTTTTTCCAAATTTTTTAAAAATTAAAATTTGCACAGGGTACACGCCCTATGTCTATAGTGCTGCAGCGGCCACTTCTTCTTGTTTTATCGCTGTTCAGGTATTGTTCTGTGTAGGCTCTCTCTGTGTGTGTGCTGAAGAAAGAACTACAATTAAATTGTTGCACTTAAGACGGTGTTTGTCTCATATATATTGTGTGAGTGTAACAGGATGCTCAAATATAATATTGTCTACACAGTGCCTTGATCAGGCCACGACCACTTCCAAGTCATTTCCAATCCATCTATCATCGTACCGTCCGACACTATCAGGTCTCTATACTAAAAGCATCGTTCAAGAACCTATGAGAAAAGAAGTTACTTTCTTTAAGGACGCCTTCTCAGTTCCGTAACCTGGCACATCTAGGTTGACACCTATTGTTTGTACGCACATCAGACAGCTGTCTAGAGCGTTCTGAACAGTACAACTGGTAGGTTATTGCTCCGGTTTCAAAGGGGGAGATCTGGACTTCATGCCTTAAATAGACACTTTCATATTTCCGAGGCGAAGACGAAGTCTATGACACTTATAAAATGCAGACACATATTGTCCCTCAGAATCATTAGGTTTTTGGATTCTATCCAACGTCCGGTATTCTAAAAAAAAAAAAACTAGAAAACACAACGTTTCGGAAACTGGATCTGTTTCCGTCCTCAGGTGACGGGGGAGACCTGCTCTATTGCGTCCCTTAGAAAGAGAGATGGACAAATTCCAAAAACCCAGTAATTCTGAGTGTTATACACCACCGTTAGAACCCTACAGAGGATACATGCACACACTGTTTTACATTGGGTACCCTGTATATTTTACACTGATATATCAGTGTGTTATACACCATCGTTAGAATCATATAGTAACTAACTGTATATTTTAATTTAGGGAAGGCGGTGAGCCCAGTTTTCAGATTGATATCTGCAGTGAGGCTTTCGTTCATAAAGTGAAAGCTATGATCAGCTCTTGAACCATGTACATATATTAACAATATCCATTTCAATACCTTTACTGCTTTGTTTCCTCTGCACGAATTGCATCACATTCACGTATAATCAGAAGGACTATCTTGCCATCCGCATGTTTCTATTTCCGAAGCCACTTACCAATTTCGGCGTGGAGGTAATACCAGAAGCTAACAGTCGCATTTAATTTCGCTTTGCAATAACGCCTGCTACGCACGAAGCTTAGACTGAACTTGTTTTCTAAAACGGGCCATCATGAAACAATTTAGTACAATGTAAACCTATCCAGTTTCGTGACATTCCTTATTTC